CGTCAGGGTTCAAGGTGTCGTCGGCGAATGTGTCTTCGGAATGTGTCATCAGTGTCTGTGTGTCGTCAGGGTCTTTTCTGTTCTCAGCGTGCTTGTCGCCAGACCTTGCTGGTGGGAGGAGGAATGCGTCTTCGGAATCTGTCGTCAGCGCCAGTTCCAAAGTAGCACCCCCTTCTGCGGCTACCCTGTATATAAAAGTAAAGTTTTTCAGCAATTCAGAAATCGTTCATTTCGGAGTTTCCGATAAACGATGTAAAATTAGAAAGTAAAGGTTTTCATACATTCCGAAATTGGTAATTTCCGAATTTTCGCCAAACCAGACATTGAGCAAACAGCGTCCGGCTGCCAGCCAGAAGTGGAACGTTTGTACTTGCATTGGTTGTGAAGAGCATTCATGCAAAGCTGTCCTGACAGCTCGTGTTTGTATTGGTCCCAATGCGAATGCAAAAGCTTCAAGAGCTCTGGTGGTGATCTCAACCTCGAAAACGGACAACCGCCCATCAATCTCCAAACGAAAATCGGTCAAATCAATGCACATTACACCAAGTCACAAGTTGTATATCATCGCCCGGCGGGCCGAATCAATTTTATGCCGGCGATGAGCTGTCATTCGATTATAGTCTGCGATGCAGCGTCCAAGGACATCTCGGAGGGCCGTCTTCACACCGGGGCGAAAAAGTTTTCGCTCGATCGCCACTGCCTGTTCCATGTCACCAGCCATGGATAAGGGACTTGGGCTCATCTTCTCAGCTGTGACGTAGCCGATTCAATGAAACTGGTTCACGGTTCGTTGTGCGGCTTTCATATCAGCTTAGTGTCTGAGCGAATCCAAAAACTGGTGGGCGGGCTGGGTTGTCGAAGTGTTTATAACTGCAGCGTACTGATTCGAAGGACTTCAGCACATGCCGAAGCTGAAGATTTTGCATTTCTTTCTCTCCAAACTCAAGTTCTTTGCAGAAGAGCACTATTGCGATCATGATCAAAACCTTGGTCTGCCCGTCTGTGAATCCAACTGAGTGGTCTTCGACCGCGCGGGAGCCATCTCGATGTGGAAACTTGCACTGAATGCTTTCCATCGAGCATAGATAGCCCTGCTTCAGGAACTCTGGAAAGTGAATGCTGAATTGCTGATTCGAAGGAAAATCTGATCAGGGTGATGCAAATGGTCAAAACATATTTGAGAACTAATGCATGGTAATTATAAACAAACTCATCCAAACTTTGGACCACCGGACAGCCGTTCTTGGCATCTTTGGAGATGTCAAAGCACTTCAAAGGCAAACAGAATTGATCCACATCTGGAATAAGCTGCAAATGAGCTTTCCGAGAGAACGTATTCAATGCAGGGACATAGGTGTCCAAAGCCTTCGAACAACTGAGAACAAAGGCCATTCAGCAACAAATGATTGTCCATTCTCTACATCACTCAATCTTAAGCATCCCACATCATCCAGAACAGAGATATCCTGGACTCGCTCTGAAATATGATCTCCAAGGTGCTTCATGGCGGTCACCTTAGTTGTGCTCAACTCGGCTGCGGCAATGTGCATTTGATCTGAAGCCCACTTGCAGCCAGTTGACCGTTTCAAAATACGCCAGCAGTTGGCCAATGGGATCGCGCTCAGGCGCTTCACCATCAGAAGCTTCATGTGCACTCATGGCTAACCCTCACAACAGCCTGACCTGACAGTCAAAAATACCTGCAAATAAGGTGTTCTTTCACATGTGATGTACGAAGTGAAGCAATTCATGCGCAGCAAACAAATTCTTGAAGTGAAGTCACGGATGCTTTTCATGTTTTTTCAACCCCGACGACCCCATTGCTCTTTCAGTTGGCGCCATCGCCGTTGCGATGGACAATCCCCTATATGTGGCCTTTCGATTCAATCGCGATTGCGATGGAAGACCACTTGCAAACAGTGCGGCTTTGGTGGCACCGGTCGTGCCGCCCATTGGAAATCATGATGGTTCAGCTCTTCCACATTGTTGATATTGTTGAGGAAGGACAAATGTGTTGCTTGACCAACATCTGTATCCTCGGAGCGGGCCAAAAGGGTATCGTACCAATTGATCCCGCGCGTCAGCGAAGGAAAATCCCTCTTCAGTGCCACAGCCAAGCGTTTGATCTCATCCTTCCTCTCCGGTTCA